ATTAAATTATTTTAAAATATCTATGTAATTGAGAATGTTTTAACAGTTAATTTAGTAGGTAGTGTTATGAAAGTGAGAACTTTTGGAAGTAATGATTACTTTTAAGGTTATATTAATTTTTTTTTTTTGTGAATATTTAGTGCATCTGGATGTCCATTGGCTAACAAAAATAAAATGAGGCATGAAACTTTAGGAAATGATGGCAGACCAATCAAATCAGAAGGAGTAAGGTAAGATGATTTATAAAATACATGTTAAGATTGAAATTGAGTGTACAATATTTTGGAAAAAGAATTGAGTTAATTTCATTTATATGTTCAATCTTGAGTTAAATTTTAAGAACATTTTTTGCATTCTATTCATTTGAATTTTAAGCTGATGATGATATAATTTCAGATTAAAACATTTTGTCTTATAATTTTGGCTTCCAAAAGCAAGCATTGGAAATAGTTTATTTACATGATCATTATAAATGTTTATTAATAGTAATTCATCAATAAATAATTGTAAGATGAATTTATTATCTTGTTTATTTTTTGAGAAATTTTCTGGTTTTAGCATTATTTTTTAGTTATATTATGTTGTCAAATTGAAAATAATATATAATACAACTTTTACAATTATTTCAATATTAATCTATTTAGTTGTCAAGAATTAAATAAATTAATCTTTTAATTTGGAAGAAATGAATTGTTAATTCTCCCAATGAGAAATTCAGAATATGACTGAAGTTGCTTGTCAAGAATGCAGTTTTAGGATGTAATAACAATTAGAATTATTGACAATCACAAATCAAGACAATAAGTTTATTTAATTTCTAATTGTGATTTGCTACACATATCAAATAAGATGAGTATAGTCATCATCAAACCAAGTGCTTTGAAAATTATTTTTGCTATTTGAAGAAAGCTTTTTTTTTTTAATGCATATTGGAAAGTTTTTAGAATTTTTTATTTATAAATATCAGTACATATATATGACAAATTTTATCAACATATATGTTGACCACTTCTAGCTTAAAACAAGAATGAAATAAAACATTAATTTGCTTTCATGTTTTTCAGCAATATATGCTTTTGTTTTTTTCTTTTAAAATTCATGTTCACATATATTAATCTATACTGTAATTGATTTATATATATATATTGTTACCTTAAGATCACAGTAAATTTCCTATACTTACCAGTTACATTTAATACTATTGATAATACTGGATGACAAAACTGATCTAGATTATCAATTTGTAACTTATTCTATTTGAAAAGATCAAGACAAAAAAAAAAATAGGTAATGAACTGTGTTGATCACAATTTGGATTCAGGAAAAATGTTTGGACAAAAGAAGCAATTACAATGTTAAGATAATAATAGAAAAACATCTGGGCTACCACAAATCTGTATATATCTGTTTTGTGGATTTTGAAAAGGAATTTGACAAAGTGAAGTTCCAGAAATTATTTGAGATCTTATGAAGTATTGACATAGGGAGAAATATTGTTAATTACATTTATATATCAGAAGGCATCTGAGAATTGACAATGATTACGCAGCATGATTCTCTGTAGAAAGAGGGATGAGACAAAAATATGAATTTTCACTGACTATATTCAATATATACAGAAAACTTGATAGTAGACAATTTTTTGGGCCTTATGAAAAACATTATGATGGGAAGTTGTCCCTTCTGATTTTTCATTTTATAAAACATATTATGAAGAGGTTCTGTAATTAAATGGGTAACTTTAATGCTACATTCCTTCATAAGATCCTATTCTGTTATCTTTTCCTTCAAATTCTGGGCAATTCAAAACACTTCACCAGATTTTTCGAGTGATTATGATTCAATGTCTTCTTCTTCTGTAGATTATATGATGTGGTCTTCTAACTCCTTGTTTGTCAACACTACAATTTCCTTCAATATGATATATCATATCAACAAATCCCTCACCATCAATTCATTTTGCTATTTGAATTCTCTCTCTTACTTCTGTGTCAATTCCAGGGAAACCTTTGAAATCATGGACATTATTATTTCAGAAATTCTTCCAGTATGGTTATTGTTTCTAGTTATAATTCATCTATTGCTCCTTTAATGAAAACAATTGCATCAGCAACAGTTAATGATCCAGCAGTCCATAATTCCAACATCAAGAGTGGCTTAAATCATTGCTTGAATCATATCAAATAGCTGTCGAGTATGTGAGGCTTTGACACATTTAATTACACCCTGGACAAGTAGCTGAAGCAATCGGGTGGTGTTTGTGGTAAAAATAGAACTTGAACATTTCATCTTTGATGCTGAATGATTGAGAATGATGAGGCACATTATCTGTTATCAATAAACCTTAAATGGTAACTATTCTTTCTCTAAATATAGCTTCACTTCAGGAATGAAGCATTGATGAAATCTTTCAGCTAATAATATAGCCAAGACCCATGCCTTGGAATTGTGCTGACAGAAAATAGACAGATTTTTATTGACAAGACTATGTCTCTTCTTTAAAATCACGCTGCTGTCAACGGCTGCACACCTTAGAGGTATGAGGAGTCGCAATTTGGCACAGAGTATTTGGTGTCCAAATCATGTGCACATAAAATAAACCAGACTTGTAGGTAGTCAGGGGACTGAAAAGAAAATACAAAATGTGAGACTGTTTCTACAAACAGGCACGAGTGTGATATTTGTGCATGCATTGCTCACACTCTCTCCGAGACATAGTCTCATCCCAAAAATGGCATTGTCGTTTTACTTGTTTTTCTTTAAGAGCACAACAATTCTTTGCTTTGTAAACAACACCAGGTTTTATCATATGCCAAGCCGCATTACCACATGGTACCAGAGTTAATCCGTGCTTACTTGTTTTAAAGCCTGGTGCATTTTGCACTTTTGTGGATATAGGTCCTCTCAGGCATTTTTTTTAAAAGACGATTTGTTTTTCTTTTTGTCACAATTAAAACTTGCTTAGAATGATAGCCTTTCTCCTCAATGATTTTTTTAACTCTGATGGAAACATGGCACCAGCATCCTCATTAACAGATGCAGCTTCTCCAGTAATTTCTATATTTTTTAGATAAATTTTAGCTCTGAATCTTTGTAACCATTCCTAGCTTTGCTGTAAATTGCTAAGTGTCTGCCTCTGTGCTGTCTTGTAACTGAATGTCCTCATATAGGCTCAGTGCCTTTTGCTGTAATACATCTTCTACCCACAAATTTAACACTATTTCCATCTTGAGTAATATCTTATCATGCACTATATCAAACATTTGAGGATTGGGGTCGCAACAGAAAAACTGAAATTAATTTTTCTTCTTTATGTCATGTATCAAAGATTTATTTTTTCCATACAACTTGGCAATCTTTGCAAACTATTTTTTTTTTTTAATACATGTATTTCAATCATATTGAAAATTTTCACTTTCTCACATATAGTTAGTACTTCATGTCTTCGGTTTAGAATCCATTTTACAGGTTATTTAAAAATCTTATTTCAATAAAAATATTTTAAAATTTAGTCAAATGAAGAAAAAAACACTATTTAATTCAGTAAATAAAGCAAAACTAAATAAAATTATGCACTGCACAAAAAAACTAATGAATATCAGATCAAAGCAAGATTTGATAAGTTTTATATATGGTGCTTGCAAATTGCAGATAAATGAAACTGTGGTTGCTGAGACTGCAGATACAGTTGTCTCACTGTACATGTAATCAATATTAAGATGTTATTTTGTTACAACATATTTTTGCATTTTTTTTTCTTTTTTTTAGTTTTATCATATATTCTCTTACTTTCTTTGAAATTTGATCTTTAAATTCAAGTTTGTTTGTAATTATAATAAATTATTTTTTAGTTGTCCCACACCAGGTTGTGATGGTAGTGGTCATGCAAATGGCAGTTTTCTAACACATCGTAGCTTGTCAGGTTGTCCAAGAGCATCTCATGCTATGAAAAAAGCAAAAATGTCAAATGAAGAAATCAATATAACAATAAAACCAAATCCAAGTAAGTATAATTAAGTATAATTATTGAACAATTACTAGAGTGATGATAAAATTTAATTGTCAAAGTTCATCATTCCCTTCTTTATTTGAGAGCTTCAAAATGTTTCTGTGATTTCTTAATTATACTCAAGCCATTCACTTCATCATTAGGAGTAAAAGTTACAGAAAAAATTTTATTAAACTCAAATCAAACACTTATTGGCTTTCAAACTCAAAAAGTCTCAAACTGTATAAAGGTATTCAATAAAGTATGAAATAATGAGAACAGAATGGCTTTTTATAAACAGAAAATCATTTAAATAAAGTTTTGTCTATTCCTATAATAATTATTATTATTTTAAATAAAGTAAATGTTATAAATAAAATATTCTTTAATATAATGAAATAAGGTATGTGAAATTTATTTATGATTTTAAAAATTTTATAAATTGATTGAAACAGTTTTGCTGTATGAACAATTTATATATTTGTAAAAATAAAATTCTACATTTAATTAATAAAAAAAAGATTATAACTTTAAAATAATTTAAAATCTGGTCTTTCAAATGATTAATAAAATCAAACTCTTATGTTATCTCAGATTAATAAAATACAACTGTAACATTATGTCACAGATAAAGTGTATAAATAAAAAGCTACACATTGGGAAATTATAATTTCTTATTTATCATAGATATATATATTATATTATTATTAAATCCATATATAGTTGATCAATTTTAAATATCTTTTGCTTGAGAAATTTATTCTTAGCTTCAAGATTTATATTAGATTTTATATTCTTACAGAAGTTTTTGATCCACAATTTTACTTATTTTTTTAAAAGAATGTCTACTAATCTAATATGCCAACAAGAAAATTTCTAACTGAAATAGAAGAGCATGCATTATCAATCATGCATTGTGTGATAATTTATTTTACAGTTTGAGACAAAATGGTCCTTCTCTTTATTTTTTCTGATTAGAAGATGTAAGAATAATTTCAATAGAAATACTTTTATATTAAATCCCTTTTTTTAGTTATTTACTTAGCTTTCTGATCATAAAGTTGTGAATAATGATAGATAATAGTTTAAGTTTGAAATCTGAAGTTTGCTGTGAATTTTATCAATCTACACTAAAGAACCTTTATAACACAGTAACAGCAAAATTTTAATGAATACTAACGTTTTCGACTGCAACTTTGGTCTTTATCAGGTTTATAACCAGTGAGATTCAAACATGGAACTTAGAACGTGTTTAAAAATTATTTTTTAAAAACATGGAACAATTTACACATGCGTAGACAATTTCTATCACTATGGTAACATATACAGTTAAATGTTGTCTATACACATGTAAATTGTTCCATGTTTTTAAAAAATAATTTTTAAACACGTTCTAAGTTCCATGTTTGAATCTCACTGGTTATAAACCTGATGAAGACCAAAGTTGCAGTCGAAAACGTTAGTATTCATTAAAATTTTGCTGTTACTGTGTTATAAAGGTTCTTGGGTGTAGATTGTCATTTCCAGTAAATCAGTAAGAAGTTGTTTAATATAATTTATCTTTTATACAGTGGGTGATCCGTTAACGAACATAATTCGTTCCAAGACTTTGTTCGCTATCCAAATTGTTTGTTAACCGATTATTAATTTACCATAGGTTTGTATGGGAATTTGATTAATTAATTAATTTAATTCATTCTGGAGACCCCAAAAAATAAAAAATATATACTTTCTTACTACGTTCATTTATATGTAGTAATAAAAATACATATATATAATCAGTCTTGCATATTTTATTAGTTATGGTTTTTTGTTTGTGGGCGTTAAAGAATCTGTCTAATGTTGATTGCTTTTCTCTCTTCTTCAGGATTTTCATAAGTAATTAATAGCGTAATAGTAGAGATCCCCAAGTTTATTAACCTCAACCTGGTTTGTATGCCATTCTAAGACCATTGATCTGACATCCCCCATTTCTTCAAAAGATCTTTAATTAATAGCAGATGTTGGCAGAAATTGGATAATTGGCTCTTTTTCATAATAAAACATATCTCGCTGAGTTTCTTGGTGTTCTTCATTTGAGAGTTCTTGGCGTTCTTCTGTCGTCAGATCCATTTCAGGTTCCATTATAAGCTCTTCAGTGTTTTTTTATTTTTCAGAAGTGATTTTTGTTACTCCTTTAGCTGCTTGAGTCTTCTTGATTATACCGTATCTTTCTTAGATAAGATTGAACTGCACCCTACTGTAGATTTGTTCAAGCCATACTGCCCAGCAACATCAGACATCTGCCCACTCTCTACCTTTGCTATTTTACCTTTTGAAAATAAAACTCGACGCAAAACTTAACGAGTGCCCGGCCGACAGTCTCATGAATACTATAAAAAAATTGTTTCTGTCAGAAAAATAAAAGGCTGGAATTACAAGGGAGAGTTTCAAAGTTCGAAGGAATACTATCTGATCAGTATATTTTGGGTTGAACATTGATGTTGACGTACCCAGAGCTCCAAAAAGTTTCAAATTGTTGCATGAAGATGAGGGAAAATCAGTCGGTATTTGCTATTTTTGTCGCTTCTTCTTATGTTTGTTCAGTGAAGTGTTCATTGTCCGATCATAAAAATCTTCTGTGAAAGTGTTTGTTAACCAATCTGTTTATTAACCGATCACCCACTGTATTAGAAATATAGCATTCCACTGGAAAAGTTACAATAACATTATTGCTCTTATAATCTATACAGTAGACCCCCCCTATAACATGGTAGATCGTTTCGTGTTTTATGAATTTCATGTTATATGACTCACTTAAATACATGAGCCAACCACAGCTCGGCACGTGTGCAGTTTAGGAACTACGGCTGTTTGAAAGGTTTTCTTCCATAAAATTAATCGATTCTAGACTAATTTGACTCAACATTTCCAAAACATGTATAATTTTTTGGGAATAATCCATATAAACTATGCTATAAACAAAAAAATTGTAGGATTACTTACCGAGTGTGCACCGTTCGATTATGCCATTGCTTAAGCTTGTTTTCATCAAAAGCAGCGCATCAAACGTGTTTCCTGATAAGTTATTTTTCTGCAAAAAATTCACTGAACTTTGGAGACATCATTAATATAAATATAATTTTTATAGCTGTTAAATAATAAATGGTTTTTTGTAGGTCTGCTGCTCATTTAAATTCAACGGTTTGTGCAATATCCGCTATTGGTCTAGATTCGACCAATTCTGTCGCAACATGAGTCGGCGATGACGTTTTACCATATTATATCAGTCTCTTTTAGCATGTTTATACAAATACGATCGCAATTTTTTCGGCGTTTTATACGAATCCGTATTATATGAATCTGTTTTATAGGGGGGTCTACTGTATTTCATTTATCTCTGTATTATTGATAAATTCAAAGCATTTTTAATTATTTACATTATAAAATACATAATTAAATTACAAAATTAATATTTAAATTAAAAATTATTTTAGCTACTTAGTCAAATTATATATTTTAATTGAATTCACTAAAGTTTTGAATTTAGCTAATGCATTAAATAAAACATTATATAATTTATATTGTTTATTGAGTAAAACAAATAGATAACAAAATTTGATTTATTTATTTATTTTTTTAAAAATGCTATTAGCATTTTGCTACACATAGTGACATTTCTAATAAATTTTTAAGTTAATATGGATATGATTTTAAGTTCAGTTTTATATAATTAGTACTATTATACCTTTTATTCAAATTAAATTAAAGTTAATAATAGCATTTTCAATATATTTAATTTGCTATCAATAAAGTTGCAATCAAATAGTTCAGTGTTAGAATTGTATATTTTAAATGTATAATTATAAACATTTTTATTACATTTTTTGCTTGCTGTTAATATATTATGATTTGATAGGTAAATGTTTTCCAAGAGCAATATTAGTACATTGAAAGCTTTTATAGTTTGTTTTTATGATTCTTTTAGTACATAATGCATTGAGAACTGTGATTCCATTATTTCAAAAGCTTTCTTCTGCTTTGATAAATAATTTGCTGAATGCTCTTTTTATATTGCAGCTGATAATGATATAGTTTTAAATCTATTTAATTTATGTAAAATAATGTAATAATATTCATATAGTTTATGAAATATTTGTTGTTCTTTGTAAAGTAAAAACTATGTAAATTTTTAAATATATATAAATCATTTATATTAAAAAAGAAGAAATACATCATAATATATATAGTATATACATACAAATTTAAACATAATGACTCTATCTTAATCAGTGTATGAGATGAATTACAAAAAAATTATAAATTAATGTTAAATTTATAAATTGCATTTTCTAGACCAAATATGTTATTTTTACTTTCCCAGCTATTATAGAATATAATTCAAAGAAAGTATTGTGATCAGTTAAATTTTAACTTCCCAGTTTTTGCATTTCTTGATCTTTTGACATTCCAGGTACCCAAATAATGTAAAAAATATATATATATACAAATATTTGGTGTATATGTGTTGGCATCTGTTTTGTATTATATCTCAGGACTGAATAAACCAAAAATTTTGAAACTTGTCAGGATTATTTTTATATATGGGACACATTGATGATATTAAATCTTGGTAGTTAAAGGTCAAGGGATGGGGAAATAGAGGGGAATCATATCTTGAGTAGGGACAGATTTAATGAAAGTTTCACTCATTATTAGCATTTATAATTTCTTTAAAAACTTACTCCTGCCCCAAAAATAAACCTTTTGCCTTTTTATAATACTTAATATAAAAATTATTTTTTAATAAAATCTCATAATAGGTGGTGCCACATATAACTTTGCAAATTATGAATCCCAGAAAAGTCATGCAAGAGTTCTTATCAGTTTTTTCAATATCACAAATTGTCAGGAATCATTTGAGAAGTTTTTATTTGTGTAGATGTTCCATAAACTGACACTGAAAAGGAATAAGTCAATATCAAAATAATATTTTTGTGTAAATTTGAATTATTACAATATTTAGATTGAAAAACACTATGATAAACAAAATTATTTCAAAGATTTACAACAGTTATGAAGAGAAATATTATGCTTAATGGGATACATACATACATACATACATACATACAAGAGAGTTGAATTATCAAGATATTTCAGATGTTTAAAAAGCTGTGTTGTATATAATCAATCATATGAAAATAAATTGAAACAATATGCTTATAAATTTTAAATGCATTATGATTATTTATAGATTGCATTTTGAATGACTCACCTCACATTGAGAAACTAGTTATTTTTAGTAACTGAATGCATGTGCTTAGTAAAAACAGTTTTAAATTCATTTTATTAATTAAGAAAGTACAATATCAAAAAATTTGGATTTTAAAATGAATTAAAA